CCATTTTTAAGGGTAGAATTCATTAATATTAATCATATTTACAATGTTGTGGGACCATCCCTATTTTCAAAACTTGCATCACCACAAACAAACATTCTATTAAGCAGTAATTTGTCAGAGGTGGTGGTGGTGGTGGTACAATTCTTTTTCTTTTTTCTTTTTTCCTTTTTTTTTGTGGAACCGGGGATTGAACTCAGGCCCTTGCACTTGCCAGACAGCAATTCTTTGATGAACCCGAAGAAAAAATACCTCTTCATTTCTCTCCTCCTGGTCCTTGGTAACCTCTCCTTTATATTCTATCTCTGAATTTGCCTGTTTTAAATATTCTCTGTACTTAGGCCTATACAATATATGAGCTTATGTATTTTGTTTTGTGTATTATCTTCAAGCTTCACCATAGCATTGATCCAGAATACCATTTGTTATGGTTCAGTATTACTTTGTTTCATGTACATAACACATTTTGTTTATCCATTTATCTTTTGATGGGCACTAAGATTGTTTACATCTTCTGGCTATTATGAATAAAATTTCACAAAAAAGGAACTTTGCTCTACAGTATTTCTTGTCCTGAGGATATATACATGGGAGTGAACTTCCTGATCATGGTAACTTTGTTTATTTAACTTTTTGAAAAATTGCCAAACCATTTTCCACAGTAATTTTACCATTTCATGTTCCTACCAGTAATGTAAGAGGGTTTTAAATTCCTCATATCCCTTGCCAACACCTCATTCCTTGACTGTAGCCATTCCAGTAGGTGTTAAGTGCTATCTTATTGTAGGAGTGAACTTTGATTTGTAGTTTCCTACCAACTACAAATTTATAGTTTCCTAAAGACTACAAATCCTTTTCTTCATGCTTATTTTGCCTTTTCCATACTTTAGAGAAATGTCTATTCAGGTCCTTCCCCTCCCCTTTTTAAAAAAGTATGATTTCTGCTGGACATGGTGGGAATCTGAGGCAGGAAGATCTGTATGACTTGGAGGCCAACCTGGGCTATACAGTGAGTTCAAGTTAATCCTGAACTACATAGTGAGACCTTGTCTCAAAAAAAAAAGTATAATTTTTTTTTTTTTTTACTGTTTCAGATTTATTTTTCATTCTGAGTATTAAACCCAGGGGATCTCTAATACTGAGCTATATCCACACCCCTTTTAGTTTATTTTGAAACAGTCTTGCTAAATTCAGTCCCTGTTGGGGTCCACCTTGTGATCCTCCTGCCTCAGTCTCCCAGAGGACTGAGATTATGGGCATGTGACCCCACACTGACCCTAGAGTTTTAAATTTTGATGAAGTTCAGTTTATTTATTGTTTTCTTTTGTGGTTCATGCATTTTTTTCTGATATTTTAATAATAGAACTATTGGCAAATTTATCATTTGGTATTAGATGATTTTCATTGGTGATCCCAGATTAGGCTGCTTTTTTGGTCTGAGATAAAAGACAAAAACAAAACAAAAAAATCCCAACTAATCCAAAAACAGCACCACAAAAAGGACGAGTACTATGCAGGACGTTGAGGCAGGAGGACTGCATGCTTGAGGCAAAGCTGCACTACATAACAAGTTTAACGCAAACCTGGCTGTATAGTAACACCCTATCTCAAAACAAAAAACAAAACAAAAAAACACAAACAATATTGCTAATATCAAACATCTGATAGTTACTAGATGCCTTTTGTAAATCCAAGAAAAGAGAATTTTATAAAAGAAAAAAATGATCCTTTCATTTTTCTCAGGCAGATTCTACTGAAATTGTTAACCTTCTGGAGAGCTCAGGGGTATAGTTTTCCCTGTCATTTCTCTGGAAGCAGTTGGAATACAAGGTGCGCTGCCTATTATACTGAGCTGCACTACAGGCCGTGTAGGTTTCTATTTTCTGCATTTCAGTGCACCTCCTGGTTACTGTTTTACTTTCTGGCCTAGTCTGCTATGTTCTTTTCAAACTGCTTTAAGAAACTTGAACTGGGCTGGGCAGATACCTCGGCAGCCTAACCACCTGTCTGGCAAGTGCAAGGTCCTGCATTCGATCCCTGGTACTGGCCCCAAAACTGGGCAGGGTGGTGCACACCTGTAATCCCAGTACTGGCGAGGCTGATACAGGAGGATACAAGTCTGAAATGGTAGCAAGACCGTGTATCCAAAGCAAAAAATAACAACAACAAAAGAAACTTGAATATTTTTGAATCAGCCTTTAACTCTGTTCTGTTATACTACAGAAGTGAGTTCCCTGTAATGCTCACATTCTTTTTTGAAACTATATATTAAAACATTGATTAAAATAGCCCCACCCAGGGACAAAGGAAAAATAACACCCCATATAACATAGGCTTTTCCTATTGTGGTTTGAGTACACTCCCTCTATATTTGCTCTTCGATAACTTGATATTTACTGTTTTATTTTAAAGTCTAAAAACACAAATATTAAGTACCCTCCTGATACTTAGCATGATAACATTTTGATTTTTCCCTCCTAGCTGATCTGAAAAGAACAATTGCTGTCCTTTTGGATGACATTTTACAACGCTTGGTGAAGCTGGAGAGCAAAGTCGACTATATTGTTGTGAATGGCTCGTCCACTAACACTACCAATGGCACTAATGGGAATTTGATGCCAGTAACCACAAATAAAAGGATAAATGCCTCGGGCAGCATTAGATAGCAGTTGAAGATCACCTTGTACTGCTCTATCCAGTATGGATTATTCCCTTTCACAGAAAAGCTTTTTAACTGCTGGATAGGAGAGAGAACTACTTTACAATAAAAGCCCAACATATTTTCAAGGAATTTGCTGTATTTGTAGAACTCTAATTCTGTATATAAAATTCTAAGTGTTACTAGTTTGCTTTCAGGCAAGTCTCTTCCATGCTGTGCTACATCCGTAAAGGGAGTTTGGCAACATGGTTGATGTAGTAAGCAGGTAGGTGATCTTTGTGTAAATGTTTTGTGTTTGAGGTCAAGCTGAAACAAACACTAAAAGATGTGGATTTGTTTTCATAAAATATTTATTTAAGTGTATAACGTTTTCAGAAAAGTGGAGAATATTGTTACTGAATCATTCTGTCATTTGTTCTCAGTAGATGTAGCTGTTCAACTATGGCTATTAGAAAATGTGCTTACTTCCAATACTGTATTTTGTTATTCAGGTTATGATCAGAGAAAGAAAGTATAATGTTAAAAATGTTTTGAAATTGTGACCCAAAGAATGTCTTCATTTGCACTATCCTTCAAAATAGAGGAAGGTTAATTGTTGTATATTTTAAAAAATTACATTTGTTGTAAGAGTATAATCTTGAAATGGTAGCAGCCACTGTCCATAACCTATCTAACCATTGGGGGCAATTTAGTAACATTAAAGTTGTATCTCTGATACCATACTTTAAACTTTCTTACATATATTGTGAAGAATAAAAATATTTTTATGACAAAATTAAATATAACTATATTCATGATTTTTCACATGCATAAATGTTGATTTAAAAGTTTAACTGCTTCAGGGCCAGGGATATAGCTCAGTGAAACAGCACCTGCCTGGCAAGTGCAAAGTCCTGAGTTCAATTCCCGATACAAAAAAAGAGTTTAACTAGTTTGCTAGGTACAGTGTTAACATACCTGTAGTCTCAGCTACTCAGGAGGCTAGGGCAGGAGAATTGATAGTTCAAGGCCAACTTTAGGCAACTTCATGAGACTGTAATTTAAAAAAAAACTTCTTGAGTGTCTGTGACATTAGGAAAAGCACAAGATTTCCATATTTGGGTAATTTTTGCTTTTGTTACATTGGTAGTAGAGGACAGGACACAAGGACTTTAGACAGGTGTATATAATACAGGTATTTGTACTGCATAAATTGCTTGGAAGATGCTACTATTTATGTTTATCTAAGAGTATCCTGCTTTATGCAATTTTGGATTAGATATTTGTCTTATATAATGACCACTTCAAGTAATTAAGAACATTTAAATTAAATTATGAAGATTGACTATCTTTTCGGGAAAACAGTGACTGTATACAGCACAAGAAAACTTACCTTGTAATTCTAGTATAGAACAAAGTATACCTTTACTTAAATTTTTCATGTAGCAAATCTGATTGCTAAATGGTGCCCTGAATTTCATAGTATTTATTCTCCATAATAACTGCTCAAGTGAAGATAGCTTTTAGATTTAGAGTATATTGAATTTAATTTTAGATATTGTATTGTCATTATTACAATATGCTACCATAAATAGTAGCATTAATTATATTTTGTTAAAATAAGTATGAGAAAATATTATTTCATAAAGATAGCTTTCCAGATTGTCTTCTCTGTACCTTTAAATGAAGAATTTAATTATATACCATTACCAGATGAAGTTTGGAATAATTGTTCTCTCTTGATTAGATGTAGACATTTTTGTTTTTTGTTTTTGTTTTCAGGGATGAAATAAAATATATTATTTGTAATTTAATGTGTTATATGCATTTTTTAATAGTGTTTATGTATTTGATAAATGGTAAATGATTAAAAGAAATCATAATTTTGGGCTTGTGCTTTAAAAGTGTGGTGTAGTGGTGCACACCTGTAATCCCAGCACTCAGAAGATGGAGACAGAGGATTGGTGGGTACCATTTTTAGCTCCACAGCAAGTTCAAGACTGGGCTGTACTACATAGCGAGATCCTGCCTCCCTCTGCGGGGGGGGGGGAGTTTATTTAATAAACTGTAGATAACTTTTGAAAGGAAGAAAATTAAAGGTTACCCAATAGTTCCTTTTGTTTGCTACCATAGCTAAGATAATGGATCTTGGTATGGGGACAGAGGGAACAAATCCAGATTGTGATAAGAAAAAGATTCTAGGCTTATACCCTCAAGTTGAAATTTATTGTTGATTGGGTAGGCAGGGATTGAACCCAGTGCTTTGCATGTGTTAGGTAAGCACTTTTACCACTGAGTTTATTATTTATTTATATTTTCAGTTAATCTCAGGTAATTTGGACTTAACACAGAGAACATCTTTAAAGGTATTAACACTTTTTTTTTTTCATGATACTGGAGATTGAACTCAGGACCCTGAACTTGCCAGGTGAGCGCTTATTCTACTGAGCTATCTCCCCAGCCCCAAAGGTATTAACACTTAAAACTCACATTTATATTAGAGTGAGATAGGAAAGAAGGGCCTGATTCTCCCCAGAAGTACTTCTTAATCTTCTGTGGCTTCCTCAGACACCTTGCAAACCAGCCCACTACATCAGACACCCCATAGCTGTGCTGCAAGATATTCCTGCCGCTGCAGTGTGTTCAGTCATGACATACCGGCCTCTCTTGATGATTCTGCCCCTTGGTAGCTCTCCTCATTCTGGTCTACAGAGGCCTCCAACCCGTGACCAAACAGTGCCTCTGCATATGCAGGAGCCCTCCTCTTTTCCTTTACAAGCATCTTCCCTGTACCTCTAGTGGATTCAGCCTGTGTACTGCTGCTACCTCTGTGTGTAGCACAAATCCTAATCAAGCGTCTGCTAGATGCTGTATTCTTCGCTGTTAGTGGTTTGTACTCTGAGTAGATTGTGCTGAGTGGGTCCACTAGGAGCTGGTAAAGCAAAGGTTGTTGGCAACACCAAAAGGCCTCAGGTGCTGAAAGTGGCCAGCAGTCGGTGCTCGTGATACTCAAGTAGCTAGCAGCAAATGATGGGGAGCAGTGAGGAGGTGGGAGCCACTACCTCTGGCAGCTGGAGTTCCTGAAGACTGCCCATGTTGCTGACTCAAGAGCAGCGAGGAGGGCTACTGGCGTTCAAAGCCGGGATAGCAATGCTAAAAGAGCCACACTTTGCCAAGAGAAATCTGTATATGAAATGAGCAGACCTTTCAATTGACTTAGAAGCCAGCATGGGGACTGTCTCTTTAGAAGGCCTAGAAAAACAGGGCACATAGTGGTGATAGAGACTCAAGAATTGAGCTCAATTTAATTTCTGTCTTCTCTGTGACCCAGAATTCATGCTAGCCATTGACAAGAGGATCTTTGATTTTTAAATACTGTATTCATTAAATAATAAACATTTCAGATGACTAAGGAGAACTTGGATTTTATTAGTCTTTTTTTTTTTGTATTTTTAGGGAAAGGTCTACAGGGTGTTCAGTTCTCACTACTAGATCAGACTCGTAGTGATCCGCCTGTTTACAGCCTCCCAAGAGCTAGGATTACAGGTGCGCGCCACCACGCCCAGTCTCAATTGCTGGCATGGTCGGCCCAGGGATCTGGATTTTATTAAGTCTTTAAGAAATACTAGTAGCGGGGCCAGGGAGATGGCCTAGTAGAATAAGCGCTTCCCTGGCAAGTGCAAGGGCCTGAGTTCAATCCCCAGTACTGCAAGAGTAGCTCAGCGGATTAAAGCACCTGCAAGCAGGGGCTGGGGGTTCAATCCCTGGGCCTGATGTGCTGGCCCTGCCCCCAGGGTACGCCGAGACAGTGATTGAGACTGGGCAAGTCAGATCTAGTAGTGAGATCCTGAACATCCTGTAGACCCTTCCCTAAAAAATGCAGGGAAAAAAAAGTAGTAGGGCACAATTGTGCTAGCCTGTAATCCCAGAACTCTGGAGGCTGAGGCAGGAGAATTATTATGAATTTGAGGCCAGCCTGAGCTACATAGTAAATTCAAGGATAGCCTGACTATATGGGGAGAGTGTCTCAAAAACAAAAACAAAAAACTAATGGCCTTGACTTTGGAGTTAAGTTGTATTCAAGTCTGTCTTTTTAAAGATAGAACCATCTTTATGAATTTACAGAATCTGCCTCATCTCATTATACCTCAGAAGTTTAAAGTGTTTACATGGCAACCTCTGACTTGCAGACTTGGTTTAAATGCAAACAACTTTCTGGTTTTAACTGAGCACTTTGACTTTAGTAGCTAGCAGTGCAGTTACATTTTTTTCCCTTCTATTGGCAAATGTCTACTTGAAAGAGTGGGACATAATACAATGAAAGATACAGAAGACAAAATTGTTTAGAACAGAAGAAGAGATCCTGAGCTGGGGAAGATAGCTCAGCAGCATCAGTGCCTGCCTGGCAAGTGGAAGGTCCTGAGTTTAATCTCTGACT